CCTGCGCGCCCGCGAGGCGCGCGGCCGGCGGCGACCCGAGGGCCCCCCTGCGGCCGGCGCCGCCCACGCGAGCCCCGTCGCCGCCTCGCGCGCTGCCAGCCGCCCCGCCCCCGCCGCCTGGGGGCGGCGCCCCGGCCCTCGCCCGCGCCGCGCGGCGCGCAGCGCGCAGCAGCAGCAGCAGCAGCATCCGGCGCGCACGGCGCCGCGCAGCCAGCCGAGCCCGCTCGGCCCAGGCGCCGCGCAGCGAGCCGTCGGCCCGAGCGCGCGGCGCGGTGGACCTGTCGCCGACGCCGTCCGACGAGTCGGGGCCCGAGCTGCCCCTGCGGCGCCCGGAGCCGGCCGCAGCTGCAGGGCCGCCCGTTGGCGGCGGCAGGCGCCCGCCGCCGCCGCCCGCCGCGGGGCCGCCGCGCCCCAGGAGCGTGGGCCGGGAGCCGCAGGGCAGCTCGCCAGGGCGCTCGCGCTCCCCGCCTGCAGGCGCCGGAGGTGCGCAGAGCTCAGTGGACGAGAGGTTGGGAGTGATCAGATAGCGGCTGGAAGTTCGCCCGGAGAGCGGCACGGCTGCGCGGCGAGTGTCCGCTACGAGTGAGTAGCGCTGGCCTTCGTGGGCCCACTTGTCGCTGCGTTGCTCTTCCTCGCCCGCGGCGCCTCGTGACGTGACCGTGCCCGCAGCAGGGCGCCTCCCCGAAGCCGCGTGTTCATCTGCACCCCTCTCTGGTGGGGCCCTTGCTCCGGGCTCCCTCTCTCTCGGAAGCGACGGCAGGGGCGAATAGCCCAGGGGGGAGCGACACGTGTATCCAGGGCCGCTGATGATCCATGTCTTTGGCGAGGCTCCCGGGCGAATACGTGTAATGCCCGCCCCTGGGCTGTTCGCCCCTATCGTCGCCGCCGGCTCTTCCTCCCCCACCTCCCCTCGACTATCCCTCTGCCCCTGCCCGCGGGGCGGGGTGCCAGCTCGGCGCCCGCCAGCGTGCCCACCGCGGGCGGGCCGAAGGCCGCCCCATGCCCCAGCCGCTGTGCTTGCCGTCGGACACAAAGAGGAGATAACGGGGGGTTCGAGGGATCCGAGCAGTGGACAGCCAAGTCCGATTTTACGCTCGGGCCCGGCAGGAAGATGGTGGTAGGAATCCACGATGCCACGCCTTCTCCAACACCCGACGAATGCTGATGGTTGAGGTCGTCGCACTTGGTGGCTACGGGTAAGACGGGTGCCCAGCTTTCTTGTGGCCCCCCATTCGCGTGCATCACGTCGTGTGCAGGGCCAATATCGCAGACGTGAGGTACGAGCAGGATGTGTTTAAGCACCAGGCTCCTTTTTTAGAAACGGTCGGCGCTAATGGCATCAACAAGCACCTCAAGCGCTACGTTGTACTGAATGGGACAGATGGTTGGGCAATGTATTATCCCGCTCGGACTGAGTCAATTGTGGACTGCGCCTTGATGATGATCAATTGGCGGAGAAAGCTCCAGATTGATCAACATGGATCTTGTCATTGATGCTCATATATGCGTTACGGTTTCCGGCCCATTGGGAAGGCACTGTTGCAGGACAGATCGGGTACACTTTGCCATTTGGAACCACTCTTCTCGAAAGAACGCGAAGCACCAGGGACAGGCTCGCTCGATCCATTCAGCCTTACTTATCATACGCATCCAGGTGCGAAGTCATTAAAACTCATCGCGAAACGCTTGGGTGGCGAATATGTTGCTACGCCTCAGTGCTTGTTCACAGTGCAGTATTCCGTGTTGACAGTGAAACCAGCCTGGCCAATATTTTTTGTTCACTGTCAGTATTTCTTGTTCACAGTCCAATATTCCTTGTTCACAGTCAAATATTCAGAATTCCTTGTTCAGTAGTCCGAATTCACAGTCAACGTTCCTTGTTCACAGTCCAATATTCCAGGGTGGCACAGCCAGGATCTGAATGTGCAGCCTGATACGTACGTAAGACCACCCACTCTCCATCGGAGCGAAATATGATTAGAATAGGTGACTGGCAACCTTCCAAGTCAAGCATCGACTGCATCAGTCCTGTGCCTTTCAAGAGGGAAACATATTCTACCTGGAGGTTTTTCATCATGTTCTGGGCTTCGCAACTATCGACAGACATTACGGTCGCGTCTACAGACCCTCTTGACTGGGGGACATGAGGGAGATGCTGATTCACGGTCGGTGTCGACCCAGCCACCGCGCTGGGACCGCTGGTGTTTGCTTCTGATGAGCTTGACGCTATTGTGTGGATGTTGCAGTGCACTCGTTGGCACCAGGGCCAAGGTTCACGTCTGTCTGGATGGACTCGGCGTTTCGGCGCTCCAGGTTTCGAGGCCTGGCGGACGTCTCAGTGCGGGGGTGAGAGACCCACTGAGGGCGTAGACCATCTCAGTGCGGGGGTGAGAGACCCACTGAGAAACCCTGGTCTGCGGATCGTGTCCCAGGCTTGCGCTGCTCAGGTCTGCTTTGTAGTGTTATGTTCTCCGGCGGCGTCATCGGCAACGAATTCGTGATGCGCAAATCGACGTCAACACGCTCGTCTACTGACTTGCATGCCTTTCGAACTTCCTTGTGCAGTTAGGGATCACCTTTTTCGTCTTTACAGCTGACCCTTTGTATAGTCCTTGTTGACATTTTGTCTTGAGGCGGGGACCATCTTTGACTCCTTTCTCTCTGCGGCGTGGCTAGGCAACATTTCACAATGTGCGCTCTTGTGAAGCATAGGCCGCGGCGGCTCCACCAGGCCTTGTGAACATTTCACAAAAGGAGCAAATGGTTGCACAAGTTTACTCTTGTGAACTACACTTCCTATGTAGCATCATTGTGCCGGTAGGGACAATACGTCCCACCTGGCCTGCCCTGTGTAGTTTCGCGCTCCAGGTAATCAGTGCGCTGTGAGGGCGACAATAGCGTCTGCCCTGAGCAATTTACCATTTCCCTAGGGGGTCCGATGCGCCTCCTAGGGCTCAGAGGTCAGGCAGCCCCTGACGATACCACTATACTCGCAACTATCGACATGATGACTTTGCGTTGTGATGGTGTTTTGGACTGGCCCGTCACAGTGGGCCTTTGTGGCAGGCAGGTATCTTATGTCAGGGTTCTTGCGCAACCAGCGATGGGGCCATTACGTGGCTCCTCCTGATCTGCCCGCTCAAATTTTGCAACAAAAAAATCGACTAGAGCATAATGCTTGAGTTGCACTCGAGGATGCGGTCCTTCTTTTGCATTGTGACGGCCGGCGTCGCTAAAAAAAACAACGCGCCACTCAGCGCCACTCACGCCACTCAGGGCCAGTCAGCGCCACTCTGCGCTACTCAGCGCCAGTCTTGCTCCTACAGCCGCTGAGTGGCGCTGGTTGGCGCCGAGTGGTGCCGAGTGGCGCTGAGTGGCGTCGAGTGGTGCTGAGTGGCGCCGATTGGCGTTGAGTGGCGTCGGGTGGCGCAGAGTGGCGCTGTGTGGCGTCGGTCGGCGTTGAGGTGCTTCCTGGAGTGGCGCCGGGTAGCGTTGAGTGGTGCTGAGTGGCGCGGAGCGGCGCTGACTGGCGCGGAGTGGTGCTGAGTAGCGCGTTGTTTTTTTGACTCCGCGTGGCCGTCACGCTGTTCTTTTGCCATCCAGACAGAACTGCCGACTTCAAATACATGTTCTGTCTTCGGGGCTTCTCCGATAAGGTACTGTTTCATGCTTCCAAATCGGCAGAACTCTTGCGACATCGGCAGTACGTCAACAAGGCGATTCTCGCAAATCGGCAGACGTCTTGCTTCCAGTGAGTTTTTATCTTGGGTCCCTACGAGGTTCTGTGAATGCGATGCACAGGAGGAACCAGTTTCCACCGCGCTCGCTTCTGTGCGTGCTGGGGCAGCCCTCGAGGAGAGCCATGACCCGCTTGTCGAAGGCCAGGTTGGGGATGGGGGAGGTCGGGTGGACGTCGTCGCCGTCGGGGGCGATCGGGAGGTGGAACTGAACAACGAGCCCGGCCACGGAGCCGAGAGGTTCGGCTCCACGGTCATCTGCTTCAGTTGTGGTGCCTACAGTGTGGCTGGAGGCCGCAACCCGAAGCTTCGCGCTGCGTGCAAGGGGCATGCGGGCATGCGGCCGTGGCGTCAACGCGTTCCAACGAGGGGCTGCAGATTTCCCGCGCAACGTGCTGGCTCCATCCTCAGACTGGGGCCTCTTGCCCGTGAGTGCCCTCGACGCGAGGTCTCCACCGTCGGCCTCCCGACGAGGTGGGGACACAGCTGTTGAGGGATTGCTGTGCGTTGCGGTGGTTTCTGGCCCCGCAGTGCAGCCCTCTCTTTCCTGCTGAGGCGGGTCCGCACGCTCGGACTCGCTCTTCATCGCTGGCTGCCTCATCCTCCTCCTTCTCCCCCCCCTCCTCCTCCTCCTCCTTCTCCTCCTCCTCATTCTTATCATCCTCATTCTTCTCCCTCCGCCTCTTTTCTCTCCTCTTCAGGAGGAGGAGGCGGCGGAGGAGGAGGAGGAGGAGGAAGTAAGCTTTGCTCCCAGCCTGGACTCTGACCCCCGCATGTGAGGAGGAGGAGGAGGAAGAGGAGGAGGAGGGAACATGAGGAGGAGGAGGGGGAATGGGAGGAGGAGGATGTGGGGCACGCTGCGCCGCAGCTGAAGGGCGCGTCCTCTCTGTTTGAGAGGCCCCAGGGAAAGGGAGCCATCAAGAGAATGCTTCGGGGGGTGGTTCTTGGCGTTTTGCAGGTGGAGTTTCCTGCCAGACTGCTTGATTTGGATTGGTATCCCGTGGCTAAGGGTCGTGCTGCGCTCAGGCGGGGTTCCATAGCATCGGCAAGAAGAGGCGGAGCGAGAATGGTAATGATATCATCAAGAAGCACAGCGCCATGCACATCGGCAGGCCACTCTGGCAGGAGACATTGTGAAACACGCACGCCGCTCGGGCCGGGAAGCGAAGCCTGCAGCGCGCATGTGCCACGCCAGCAGGCCAGCACGCCCTCCAGCAAGCGTCCTGTGCCAGGCGCTCTTGGCCGCCTGCTTCTCTGCACGCCATGTCGAGCACAGCGGCGGCGGCGCCGCCCGCTGCGGCGTCCTCGCGGCACCCGTGGCTGCGGGTCGCGGCGCTGATCGGCGCGGGGGCACTGGTGGCGCTGGAGCTGCTGCTGCGGCGCCGCCGGCAACGGGCGCCGCCGGCAGGCCTGCCCGGCGCCGCGGCGCGGGCGCCGCCAGCAGGCCTGCTCCGAGCGTTGAGACGCCGGGAGTGCGTGGCCGCCTTGGGCCCGGAGTTCCCTGCGCCCGCACTGCCGGGCTCGTCGCTGCAGGTCGGATACTATGACCCTGCTCAGACATAAACAGTCGGAGTTCCGCGCGGATTTCCTGGATCCCCGTTGGGCCCCCCCCGGCGGCGCCTCCGGCGCCGCCCCTGCCGCGCTCCGCGCGCCAGGGAGAAGGGCCCAGCGTAGATCCAAGAAATCTGCGCGGACCTCCAGAAGTCAGTTTTTTATCAGCCACGCGCAGAGGGGGGTACAGAGTTCTTAGAAGGCGCGGGCCGTATCTATAAATGTAAAGCCTGCGCCTTCTAAGAAGCAGCCTCCTTCTGAGAAGCCTTCTGCCCTTCCTCTAGCCCACTGCGCGCGCCGCCAAGTTTATGCAGTGCTTTGTTCCTCCGGCAGGGCCTCCTGATCGAGGCCGTGCGGGGGGCGATGGCGTCACCCGGCGGGGGGGGGCGCGAGCCGCTGGAGGCTGGCGCCGCGGCGGCAGTGCTGGCGAGGCTCCTGCGGTTCAAAGATGGGGCCCTGAGGGTCACAGGAGGGCGAATTCCGAGGAAGAGAAGACTGCATAAACATTAATGTTCGGAGCGCCGCGGGGATTTCTTGGATCGGCGCGTGGCTCCCCTGGCGGCGCCTCCAGCGCCGCCCCTGGCCCGCTCCGCGCTCCGCGCGCCACGGATGGGGCTGCAGCGCAGATGCAAGAGATCCGCGCGGACCTCCAACACTTTATGTTTATGCCGTTTCGTTCTTCCTCTAGAACTGAGGCGCGGGTGATTGGCCTTCGGGGGGCCCTCTTGTCACCTTGGCTGGACGCAGCTCGGAGGACTTATGCGTTTGGACCCCGCGAGGGGTGAGTCTGGGGAGCCAGTCTTAGCTTCCGCTGCCTCAACTCGCACTGCTCCGAGACATGGGGCCCTGGGGGATGGGGCCCTAAACGGATAGGGAAGGGGTCCAGGCTGAACCTCCGCTGCTGGAGTCAGCTCGTCCTTGGGGCCGCAGCCCTGCAGGGCCCCATCCTTGACCCGTCGGAGGCTGAGCGCCGCGGGCCTCCCGCTGTCCGACGCGGAGCTCCTCGTGGGCGACGCCTGCGCCGCCGTGGGGCGGCGGCGCCTCTGGCGCGGGGCGGCGGCCGCGCAGCGGCGGCTGCGGGCAGGCGTCGGGAAAACGCAAGACTCGAGTACGCCGGATCTCGGGCTCGCTCACGCTTCTTGACGAGCGCGTCCTGGAGTCTGAGGGTCCGGTTCTCGTGGGACGTCTGCGGGGGGAGCCCGCGTCAAGTTTCAGGTTTGGTCTCGCCATGTTCATGATGGCCCCGTCGGGCCAACCCGAGTCCCCCTCGCCCGAGTCTTACACCCTGCGAAATGCTTAAGAAATCATGGGTTAAGAAATTCATAGTCTCAGAAAGTGAATAAAACCCAGGACTTCTATCAAAATCTTGGGATTTACATTGAAAAGTTAAGAATAATCGAGACTCAGGACGAAAACTTTGGTTTTCTTAAGCATCGCCTAAGGTGTACGTCTCCCCGAAGGCGGCACGATGTCGAGGCGGGTCCAGGCTGCGGTGGCGGACTGCCTCGGCGCGGTCGAGGCGGTGCCCTTCGCCGCTGTCCTGGCGTCGTCGTGGGGCCCGGAGGCGCAAGAGCGCTTCCCCTGCAGTCGGGGGCGGAAAAGAGGGGGGTGATGACTAGGGGGGGGTGGATATCATGGCGTGGGCCATGATATTTCCCCAGATCTCATGGCGCCTCTTCTTATTTCATTGCGTCCCTGGCCCCCCCGCTGGGCCGCGCACATGCCGCCGGTCATGATTTGCACCCCCCCCTCTTGGACACCCCCCTCTTTGCCGCTCCCGATGCAGCGTCGGGCGCAACTTCGGCGGCTTCGCCACGGTGCTGACGAAGCCCAACGTCGACAGGCTGGGGAGAGGGGAGCTGGCCTCGGAGCCGGCTGGGGGGCCGAGGTGGCCCAGCACTGGTTCCGGCCAGTAGAACGGAAGGAGAAAGGGCTCCCCTCGTCGCCCCGTCAGTTTCGACCCTTGGAGTGGTCCGGGGACCGATTTTGAACGCGTTTGCCCTCGTCCTCCCTCTTGACCGATTTTCTCTGGGCTTCTCCAGCTCAGACCCCCCAGTCGCCTCCAAGACAGGCCCTCTTTGGGCCCATATCTTGATGGATGTGGCATCCCAGCCTGACCGGGAGCCGAAACCCATTGAGAGATCGGGGCTCAATTTGGGCACTAGGAGGCTGGGCCAGACCTCCGACTTGCTGTTCTATTCACTCCGTGGGGCCCCAGAGCCCTCGACCGACCCTACATCTTCGACGCGTGGGTGTTCGCGACTTGGGTCGCTCATTGTGTCGCCCCATGGCCCGAAGAGGGCTCTGGAGCCCCTGGTCAAAAAAACTAGCCGTTTTTGACACGTTTCAGAACGTCAGAGGTCTGGGGGTGGTGGTGCTTGTGCCATTCTCGCGACAGGCCGCCCGCGCGCTCTCGCCCGGTCTTTGGCGGCGGGCAAGAACTGTGGAGTGTGGCAGGGGGTGCGGCCCTCTAAGACCCGCTATGAGAGACTTATGTGAAGGCGGCTCTTCGGAAGGCGGGAGGAGATTGTAGGGGTATGGGGTAGGGGGCTTCCCCCTCATCGCCATGCCCCCGGCAAAAACCCGCTCGAATCTCATCCCCTGACCCCTCCAGGGCCCCGTCTTGGCCAGCTCTTCGAGCCGCGTCCGGGCGCGGCCGCACCTGTGAGGATCCACAGGCCCCATAGCTTTCTTCGACACTGTTCTCGCTGCCCCACCTCCTCCCCTAGCTTTCCCGATGTCTGGATGTTTCGAGTATGCGGGCCCTGGATCTCTCGACCCCTCCCCAGTGGCATCATTTCGTCCTGCATCGTTGTTGAGTTCCCGACGTCCGAAAGCCTTCGGATGCCGGCAAACGGCGAGCAAGTTGCACCCTGACTCGTTCAAAAGATGTTGGAATTCTTGGCCGTTGCCTGGTGTCTTCGGAGGTCTCTGGAGATATCGAAAGGTTTCCACGGAGGACCCTTGAGGCCCGAGAAGGTTCGAAAACGCTGGAAAACATAATCCCTCGATGCCTCGATACTCCGATCCTCGTCCCTCGATCCTCGGTGGTCGTCGACGAGGTCTTTTCCCTCTGGCCGGGCCTCCTCCGTCCTCCCTGGCTTTTGCAGAAGGGGGGGGGGATTTGATGAGGATGACGAGAAAGAGGAGGAGGAGGAGGAGGAGGAGGAGGAGGAGGAGGAGGAGGAGGAGGAGGAGGAGGAGGAGGAGGAGGAGGAGGAGGAGTATGAGGAGGAGGAGGGAAAGACTGGACGGCCGAACGAGGTGCCCACGCGCCCGACGTCGTCACAGCCAAACGACACGCCCTCCCAACCTCCGACTTACGCTCCAACCGACCTTCATCTCTGAGTACTTTTTGACCCTCATCTTCCGCATCGTCCTCACCTGCGGCAATTCACGGACATATGGTACGTTGTCCCCACCGATTGCGCCGTCGACCTCTATTTCTAGAACTGAACCCACCGCCCTCTCCCAATCTTCACCACCTCCCTGGTCCTCGATGCCTCGTCCTGCTAACCTTCATCTCCCCCCCTCTTGTGGTCGGGGCGGTTGGGGCGTACACCATGGGTGGAGGGGAAAGGAGATGATATCTGCCCACCGCGCTGTCCCCGCCCACCCACCAGCGCCTCGGGCACCGTTCGCACCGTGCATTTTCCGTCTCTTTTCACCTGTGCACAGACATGGTTACAGTCAGCATTCATGTTTCCGCACAGTACGTTCAAGGACATTCCATTCCTGATATTATCCGCCTCACCTCTCGGGCCGAGCGTAGGTGCAGCCAGATTCCCACTCCAAAAGAGCATGGTAACTGCACAACCTCCTAAAGAGCATGGCGACTGCAACCCTCAGCCACACCCCAAAAGAGCAGGCCACTGCAGGCACCTCCGCGCCAAGCCCTTTCTGCACCGCCTGCGGTAGTCAGCTCCTACTCACCCACCTCATCGCCGTCTCTGCGCTATGCTCATGTCACGATCACACTTCTCTTTCCATCGTTGCCTACCACCGACGTTCTGCCACTTTCAACGCCATGGCCAACCACCTGGACCAGGGCACTCCGGCAACCGGCTGGGCTCTCACCTTGAGCGCGCACCCACCTACCCACCCACCTCCGCCGCTGCTCCTTGCCCCTCTCCTTCATCACCTACCTCCTCTTATACCTCGCCTCGCGTTCGCTGCGCAATGGTGGTTTACAACTCATGCGTTCTTCGTTCCCTTGTTTTTTGTGGGCCTTGCGTTCCCTCGGTTCTGTCCGTTTCTTTTCTCTGGCTTTCTGGGTTTACATTTGCGTGTGCCAGACCACCGCAGCCTCTGTGACAGGCGCTTCCTCTCCCTCCCTTCCCCCTCCATTCGTGTCTTTCGGCTTCTGCTTCCCATTCTATTCTACCGCTCTTTCATGCCACTTTTTGGCGAATGCACCCCCCTCCACCTCGGGCACTCAGCCGAGGTGGAGGGGCAGGACAGGCGGCTGCTCATCGACGACGCCCCGCTGCCATGAATGTGGGTGAGTGAGAAGGACGGAGGAGAAGGAGGGGTAGTAGGAAGAGGGAGAGAGAGAGAGTAGGAACGAGATGAGAAGGAGGAGGATGAGGAGCAGGAGGAGGAGGACAGGGAGGAAAGGGAGGAGGAAGGGATGATGATGAGGAGGAGGAGGAGGAGGAGGAGGAGGAGGAGGAGGAGCGAGAGGAACGAGAGGAGGCATGGGAGGATACGGGGCGGAGGAGGACCAGGATGAAGACGAGGTTGGCGCTCCAGCTCTGATGCTTAAGTCTCTGCAGCGTAAGGAAGGATGAGGCGCGAGAGGAGGAGGAGGAGGAGGAGGAGGAGGAGGAGAATTCAGGAGGAACCGAAGGAGCTAGAGGAGCCAGAGTAGGCGTGGAAGGATAAGGAGCGGGAGGAAGACGGGGTCAACGCTCAAGCTTTGATGCTTAATTCTGCAGCGTGAAAAAGGATGAGGCGCGAGAGGAGGAGCCGGAAAATGATGATGAGGAGGAGGATCAGAAGGAGGTAGAGGATCAGAAGGAGGAGGAGGAGGCGGAGGAGGAGGAGGAGGAGGAGGAGGAAGAGGAGCGGGAGGAGGAGGATCAGGAGGAGGAGCGGGAGGAGGAGGATGATCAGGAGGAGAGCGGGAGCGAAAGGAGAAGGATGAGAAAAGAGGAGGAAAGAGGAGGAGGAGGAGGAGCAGCAGCGGCAGCAGGAGCAGCAGGAGGAAGAGCAGCAGCGCGAGGGGGCGGAACTCCACTGGCACCCACGAGGTCCTGCACCTGTGGCCGGGCCTCGCTGCGGCGGCGGCCAGCGACGCCGAGGCCTCCTCGGGGGCGGAGGGCCTCCCGGTCTCGCCCGAGGACTGCCGCGGGGTCGGGATGCGCACGTCCATTCGCCGTGAAGGCCTCCCATATGTCGCCGCGCCGTTTGTTCCGACTCGTGGCCTTACGCCTGGGGGGAGCGCCTCGGCCACCAGGGTGAGCTTCGCTTCAGACGCAGAGCTTGCCGTGGGTTTGCCGCGGTGTCGGCTTCGTTTACTGGGGCGCGATCAGGACAAACGGCGCGACGACACAATATGTCTTTTCTAGATCTGGGTGTTTTTTCCTGGATTTCGGCCTGTGGGGCACGTTGCTGGGCCCTGGGGCCCAGGACCCATTTACCTCAGGACTTGTTTCTCCCATGCCAGATCCACGCGCGGCCGACGAGAAATTGCCAGCCTTCCGATTGATGGGGGTAAGGGGGCTCCGCGGTGCCACAATTGGCCACAGAGCGGGAGGAGGGGACGACGACGCCGCCGCCGCCGCCGCCGCCGACGACGACGACGACGACGACGAGGACGACGACGACGACAACGTCGACGACGGCGGCGGCGACGACGACGACGACGACAACGTCGACGACGGCGGCGGCGACGGCGGCGGCGGCGGCGATGACGACAACGACGAGAACAACGATGACGACGACGTTGACGACGGCGACGACGACGACGGTGGCGGCGGCGGCGGCGGCAGCGACGACGACGAGGACTGCCGCGGCGCGCTGGCGCCGGATTCGCACGGCCCTCGGCTGCTCCCGTGCGTTCTTCAGGTGTTTTTAGTTTGTCGTTCCGTCGTTCTTCCATCGGTGATTCATTACAAATGCGGTAAGAGCGTTCGTTAAGTAATGTGCACAGGAGGCTGCAGACCCTGGAGGATTCCTTATCTGATGTGGGCTGCAGTGATATCCACGGCCAAGCCTCAATTGATGTTCCACCAGCTTCCAGACCCTCGAGTCCTTATATGTATCTAGTGGTTCCGCGAGGGCTCTTCCTGCAGTTGCGCACGTTCACGACGGCGCACGTGGCGCGCAATTTCGCCAAGGCCTGGGAGCTCACCATACAGCAGCTGCAAGCGGTGGAACAGATGCTTGCCCTGCAAGAGCCCGAAGCCACGGTGCGGCCTCGGAAGAGGTGGGGCGACTACAGCATCGTGGACGGCGGTGACTTCGACTCCGACACGGACATCGACCAGGAGCCGCCCGCCCAGCCAGCCGCAGACCGCGGGCAGGCCGAGAGGCGGCCGCCTGCGGCGGGCCCATGGCCGCGGGTGCGGTGCAGGACTTGGTGGAAGCGGCGGCTGGTGTTGGCCCGCTGGCGACGATGCCCAGCAGCGCCGCTGGCGCTGTCGGAAGAGTTCAGCGGCACCTTTCGCCCAGGAGGGGCTGGCCCGTCGTCTGGAGCGAGGGTGTTGGCGCTGGCCGAAGTGCTCCCCCGCGAGCTCAAGGCGGCGAGCACCGTGTCCATCAATAGCTCCTCCTGAGCCCAGATTCGGACAGCCATCGAGCACTTGTGCGACGAAGGAGCCCAGGACGACCCCTTTCCTCGTGCAGGAGACCAGGTCCCTTTCCGAGGAGGTGGCCTCAGCGGCGCAGGGCTGGCGCAGGCGAAACGGCTTCCAAGCGTCGCTAAGCCCTTGCAGGCGCGCGGGGCTGAAGGCGCAGGGGATCTCTTCAGGCCTGGCCATCCTGACCGCCAGTTTCCGAGAAGTGGCGCAGCTGGGTCAGCATTGGGGCGACCTCTCGTCCAGGATCTTGGCGCGCAGGGTAGCCTTCGGAGACCTGGCGGCCGTGGTCGCCAGCGTCTACCTCGAGCATTCGGCCAGATTCTCAGGGCTGAACCTGGAGCTGCTGGGCGCCCTCCAGGTGTTCCTGAATGAGCAGTGCGAGCCCTTCATTGGCAGAGGAGACGGGAACCTGGAGCCGCAGAAACTGGCAGGTTCGCGGTGGCCGTGCGCGATCGGAGGGGCAGCGCTGGAAGCCCAGCGGCCGACCTGCTTGGACAAGAAGTGCGACTTCTTTATGGTCTCGGCCTCGCTGACGGCGCTCGGGCCCACGGTGGCGGCCTTGAGGCCTGCGACCACGCACCCGCGCGTCCCCTTTCGCTTCTCCTTCGAGAAGCTGGGAGCCCTGGCGCAGGTCCGGGCGCTGCAGGTGCCGAGGAGGTTCGACTTGGCGGCGCCTGTGACGGCCGAGGCGAAGGCCCAGGAGGCGGAAGCGATGGCAGCTCCCCAGTGGTCAGCGCCATTTTTGGGCGAGCGCGGCCTCCCCGACTCGGCGGTTCGGGAATTCTATGACGTGGCGGAGCAGCACCTGGTCGACTTCTTCGGCATCGGGTCTGGCAGCGCTCAGTCCCGTGGACGGCCCCGCGGGGTCCGCAGAGTCAAGAAGTGGACGGACCCGCAGGGTCGCGGAGACGGCGAGGAAGGTGCGCCCCCCGACGCGACGCTGGATCTCACTTGGCAGGCTAGCGCGGCAGCTGGCCTCGGCGGCGGCAGCGCTGGCCCCACCGACAGGGCATCGAGCTTTTGCGTTGCGCCCGGAGGGGGCCCCCCTCTCGCGGGCGCCGAATTTCGCTTTGCGCGGCTGCTCGATGTTCTTGGGCAATCGGACAAGAGCACGCGGCCGATGCTGGAGGAGGTGAAAGCGCCCACGAGTGCTAGCACCTTTCGCCCGGGGGCCGCCGAGGCAGCAGCGACCGACCATGCCAGAGCGGACGCCCTCCATGCACGCCGACGCTGGATGGAGTTCGTGGACGACGCCCTCGACGCTGGGGCCCACGCGGGGCCCAGGGCCTCTCAGGGCCCAGGGGGCTCTTATTTTCAGAGGCCTTCGGCCGATCCGTCTGACCCTCCCCCCCCTCGGGGCCCAGGGCCTCTCAGGGCCGAGGGGGCTCTTATTCTCAGAGGCCTTCGGCCGATCCGTCTGGCCCTCTACTCCCTCTCGGGGTCCAGGGCCTCTCAGGGCCCAGGGAACTCTTATTCTCCGAGGCCTTCGGCCGATCCGTCTGGCCCCCTTCCCCCATCGGAGTCCAGGGCCTCTCAGGGCCAGGGGGGTTTTTATTCCCAGAGGCCTTCGGCCGATCCGTCTGACCCTCTACCCCCTCTCGGGGCCCAGGGCCTCCCAGGGCCCAAGGGGCTCTTATTCTCAGAGGCTTTCGGCCGAACCTTATGACCTTGTCGGGGCCCAGGGCCTCTCAGGGCCTCAGGCGCTCGGGCGGCTCAGACGTCTTGCCTGCGGCGCCTTGGAGCATCTTAAGGTCCAGGAGGCATTTCCAGGAGAGTCCGCGACGGCCCAGAGTTCCAGACGGCCCAGAGAGCGCGCAGTTTCTCCGTAGCCTTCCTGGCTCAATAGCCAGCTCCAAGTGGCAACGTTCAGGGCCGGCTTTCACTGCTCAGTAGAGCTATTCACTTTTCGGAAGTCATGGAGCGCTGCTTGCGACCAGGAGCCATACTCAGGCCGAAGGAAGAGCCCAGGCCGAAGCGTAGACCAGGCCGAACGTCTCAGCTTTTCCTTAGCGTTTCCTTTGTTTTTCTCAGCGTTTCCTTAACGGTTTATGTGTTTCTTAGTTGTTTCTCAGCTATTCCTTTCAAGTTGTCATTCGTTTCCTTTTGTTTTTCTTAATTTTCGCAGTTTTTTTTGTTCTCTCAGCTTGCTCTTAGCTTTCCTCCGCATTCCTTAGCTTTTCTAAGCTTTTCTCAGCTTTTTTTTTTTCTCAGCTTTTCGAAGCTCTCCCATAGCTTTTTCTGAGCTTTTCCTTAAGTTTGTCCCAGTTGTTCCGTAGCTTTTGTTCAGCTTCTCTTTATCTTTTTTCAGCTTAGTTTTGCTTTACTTTTCCTTGGGAAAGAGGGCGGCAGGGAGGGGGGGCGAGCTTAGCCTGTCAGGCAGATGTTGCGCTGAGCTTCCCTCAGCAATCTTCCGGCCACAGTTCAGAGATCCAGCGCATCAGCGCAATGCGTCTGGCCGCAGTTCCCGCAGGTTTCAAGCTGAGGACTCGTTCAGCGCATTTCAGGCTGGAGTTCCGGTCGCCTGCCCAGGCCGCTTCGTTTTAGTCGGAACCAGCGGGTCAGCGCGATACTCCTGGCCGCAGTTCCCGCAGGTTTCAAGCTGAGGACTCGCTCAGCGCAGTAACAATAGCATCGCGGTAGCAGTCGCGCGGTAGCATCACGGTAGCACCGCGGTGGCACCACGGTAGCATCACGGTAGTATCACGGTAGCTTCACGGTAACAGTAGCATGTCGATAGCAGTAACAGTAGCATCACGCCATCAGGTTTCATTGTCATCACGGTAGCAGTAACAGTTACGGTGTCAGCAGTATCTGTGACACTCGCCTTATTCTTAGTATTGTTCTCATTCGTATGTTCATTCGTATTCTCGTTTCTGATTGCAATTCCAATTGGGATGCCATCCGAGGCGGGGCGCAGGAATCAATTATTTGTTCCTTTCAAGTGCGCGGTGCTAATTAATTATATCGCTCGGCGAAAACCCCCGAATAATTATTTAATTACGGGGCGGTGCTAATGATAACACCGAGGGGGGGTCCTTAATTGCTTCTTGAGGTTACACCTTGTACCTCGGGCTGGCCAGATCCAGAGGGTTCGAGGGCGCCTCGGTCAACTTCGACACCAGCAAGTTCTACGAGCGCATTGACATGAGCTGCTGCGCGAGGCGGCGGTGGCGCACGACTTCACCCCGGGGCTGGCCGAGGCCCTCTGCGCGGCCTACGCGGGGCCCAGGCAGGCCGCGGCGGACGGGGCCATCAGCGAGGAGCCTTGCTCCACAGGCTTTGCGATTGCGGGCTGCTCTTGCGCGACCGCGATGGCTCGGCTGACGCAGTGCGACTTGCTGCTTCGAGGTCGCGCGCTGCCCCCTGCAGGGCGGGCGGGTGGCCAACGTGATCGACGATGTGGCTGGGCGCAGCATTGGCACGAGGCGCATCTCGGCGCGCCAGATCACCCACTTCGCCACGGGGGTGGTGGCCGTGCTGAAGGACAAGAGGCTGCCCATCAACTGGGGCAAAATGAAGGTGCTCACCTCGTCGGCCGACCTGCAGCGGCGGGACCTTCTCGGGTAAACTGGGTGGCCGCTGCCTGCGGATGCCTTCGCGACGGGCCACGCGGGCCTGGGCGGCGACGCCGTGGCTGGCGGGCACTGCCGCGCGACCATTCAGGCGGCCAGGGGGCTGGCGGCGCTCCGCCAGGCGGCGCTCCTGAGAAGTCTTCGGGCCTGGGCCGAGGCGGGCCCGCGTGGTGAGGGCTCCAGGCCGCGCGCGGGCGCTCCGTGCGGCGGCGACCAAGGGCGCTGGGCGTCTGCCGCCAGGAGCAGCGCCGAGTTCCGTGCTGCAGTGCTCGCCGCGAGGCTGGAGGCAGGGCCCGCTGGTCGTCGCGACGGGCTTGGCGGCCCAAGCCTTTGGCAGCGCGACTCGGGCTCGGCAGGCCTGGCCAGCGGCGGTCAAAGCCTGCTTGGAGGACAGCGGGCACTTGGAGAGCTGCCAGCGGCCGAGGGCGGCAGTGCGGGATCCCGTTGCGGCACTGGTGCTCGCGTTGAAGCGCATCGGGCGGCAGCTCGCTGGCGATGGGGCTCTCCTCCGAGACGACCAGGGCTGCGAGTTCGACGCGCGCCGCTTCTCGCCCTTCTTCCTGGCGGAGCGGGCCCGTGAGGCGACCGGGGAGGCCGCGGCGCTGGAGGAGGCCCGCGCGAGGCCAGAGACGTCGCGGCCGCGGCGGCCGCCGCCCGCCC